CAATAAGTTCCGTTGGAGCAGCCTTTCAACGCCTCTCTCTGTCTCTCGCTAGCAAAGTTGACCCAGACAACAAAGTACCGTAATTGTCGGGCTATAAGCCGCTACTTTTTGCACAAGCTTTGAACCCTGCGGCTTTTAGTCAGGTGCAGCTTTTCTATGGATTTGTTTTGTTTGTTCCGCTGTTGTACGCCACTACGTTGCCTGGCGGAAGGATCGGGGTTCAAGAGTGGTATGTTGGTCACGTGTCCATCCGCCAGGCAACATAGTGCCATACAAGTAACGCGAAAAACAAACTTCAAATTAACGCTACGCGTTCAGCGGGAGTCGTGGATGACGAGCGGCGATAAACTTGCGAAAAGCAAGTTATGCTCAACTCCACCGGTGGATTCTGACAGCGTGGAAAAGTGTGAAAACATCCACGATCACCAACGGATTTCGAAGGGCTGGACAGCTGCATGATGGAGAGGAGGACACCGCCACGGCCCTTCAGAGGGTGTTCGACTCCGACACTGACAACGAGGATTTCTTTGGTTTTGAAAGTGACAACGAAGGAAAGAAGCTGAGAGTGGATGACGTAGCCATCCTGAGCCTGTTTGTATCCGACACTGGAGAAGAGGACTTTGGTGGTTTTAGTGCGCAGGAAGATGGTGAATGACTGACTTTTCTTCTTGTTAAAGCCATGTCACTGCACCTGAGTCTATTTTTCTGGTGTGCTGTAGGTTATTGTTATGTACTACATTTGTTACTCATTTATGAAGCACAGTACATGTTTCGTACTTGTAATTACCGCTACTTGTACATATACCTAAAAAGTTATGCAAATATGTACCATAACTTGTTTTTCAAAATATTAATAAAAGGGGTGTGTCTCCAAACAGCCATCTCTTTCCTGACAATTCCCTTTGTGCATATTCTCTTACATATGATAAGTCAACATTGAAACACCTGCGGCTTTTAGTCAGGTGCGGCTAATGTATGTACAAAACAGGATTTTCCCCTGATTTTAGCTTGTGCGGCTAATATTCAGGTGTGCTTTGTAGTCCGGGAAATACGGTAAAGCTATTTTTCGGCTACGAGCCCGACACGAACCCGACGTATTAGCCAGAGGTCCCTTTACTACGGTTCGGAGCCACGGACCTGTTTTATATACGCGTGGAATAGTTTTACGAGATCGCTGCAAAAAGTGCAGCCTTACCTAATGTCCACCTACTGTTACTCATTTTGTATTAAGATTTAAAAATCTAGTCGGTATTGGTATGGCGACTAACCTTCAGTAATAGTAATAAATCACACAGCAATAGTACATTCATGTAGTTGTAAAAAGCATAATAATATATTAAGTAATCTAAAGTATTCAGAATACGTTACTCTCATTGAGTAACGTAACTGAATACGTTACAAAATACATTTTGGGCCATGTATCCTGTAATCTGTAGTGAAATACATTTGAAGAGTAACCTTCCCAACACTGTTCATATTTCACGTGTGAAGCATGTGTAAGCATCGTCTCTCTCTGCAGTGTTTAACTTGTCCCGCGGTCACGCCATCGAGAGGCAGAACTACCTGCATGACCTGCAGCACGGGCGCAGGAGGAGGTGAGGCTCCCCCCCACTCACTGCACCCACACGAATTATTCAAAATCAACAGATAGACTCTTTAGAAATATCCTAAAGACAAAAATATTTCAACTTTAATTTTTTTGTAGCAAACAAAAAAATCAAATAACAGCCAAAAAAAAAAGAATATTAAACAGTCTCAAATATTTTACAGCAGCAGTCCCCAGCCCCGGGGCTGGTCCATGAGGCGTTGAGGCTCGGGTGTGAAATGTATGTTTTTTTGGGATTTTTGGGGGTCTTTATCGTTATTTTTTAAGTTGTTTTTATCGTTAACTCGGTTTCTCTGGGTCTTTTCCCGTCTGTTACGAATAAATCTTTTTTTTTTTTTAATACCAGTACTAGTTTCATTTTGTTGTATTTGTCTGCGACACCTTAAAGGCCAATCCGTGAAAATATTGTCGGACATAAACTGGTACAGGGCGCAAAAAAAGTTGGACTTGGACTGTTTTACAGTATAAATTATGAATATAAGGGTTAAAGGAAGTTTAAAATGTTGTAAAATATCAACAGAAATTCCCTTCATGTGTTTTCATAATCAGAATGAATTCAAAATATTTAAATGGTGCAGAAGTTTTCATAGAATATTTTAAAATATTTGTGTTTAACTGCTATGCGTTTGCATGGGTTCCCTCCGGGTACTCCGGCTTCTTCCCACAGTCCAAAGACATGCAGTTAGTGGGGATAGGTTAATTGAAAAATCTAAATTGCCCATAGGAGTGAATGTGGGAGTGAGTGTGAGCGTGAATGGTTGTCTGTCCCTGTGTGTTGGCCCTGTGACAGAGTGGCGACCTGTCCAGGGTGTACCCCGCCTCTGTCCCTATGACAGCTGGGATAGGCTCCAGCGCCCCCCGCGACCCTGAAAAGGATAAGCGGAAGTGAATGGATGGATGGATGCTATGAAATAATAAAAATATTAAAAATGAAGAGAAAAAATACTAAAACACGACAAAAACATTTAAAAATGTAAATATCTCAAATTATTCATCAAAGAACAATCAACACATTTCCATACTCAAAATGTTTGTGAAAGTTTCTTTTGAGGAAAAACGAATGTTCTCCAATTTTATTTGGTTATTTATTACAGTACAAATAAAATATTAGAAATACATATCTGATATATTTTTAACCACAGTCTAAGCTCGCCTTTAGAAATTGTATTTACAGTTGTCATTTTCGTCTTGCTCTGAGTCGTCATGCCGACTAACTGCTGCGCTCTGATTGGTTCCTGACTCTTTCTGGTCCATTGTCACAGTAACGAAGGGATGGAGGAGGTGGAGCAGGAGCCAATGAGAGGTCAAGCTGTTCATCGCCCGCTTTCCAGCTTGCCAAGCGATGACTGCGATCAGAAGAGGCGCGAACACGCTCAAAAGTCCCGGCACCACAGGTAGGACGACACACCTGAATATGTTCATTAGTCATAGAAGGAAGGAACCAAGTTTAATAAACGTCAGAGAATCATCATTACATCCTGCTGCTTTCAAATTCACTCATTACAGAAGTGAATAAAGTTTTTTAACCCTTTAAAGCCGGTCGAAGCGGGCATCCTCCGTTTTGCGTAACTATTTTTAAATCCTTGTAGCACTGCAACCACGTGAGCTAGCGCAGTAAATGTTTTTTGCATATGAAACCGGAGGAGTTGTACTTACATCTAGGTCACAGTTTCCTTCCACGTATAGCTTTGCAAAGACTGCATAAAAAGCACTTGCAGCAACAAAAACATAATATTCCAGAAACAGGCTTTGCCGATCCGATCAGCTGTTCATAACACTACCTACGTCCATCAGCGCGAACTATCGCATGTCCGCCATGACCTGCCCGAAACCGGACGTGACGTCATTTTGCGGAAATGTAGTTTTTTTACCATCAGGGCCTCATGAGCCTATACTGGTGTTTTTAAAAGTTGTGTTTGACTTTATGACTTTCTGTATCGTTTCTGGGATGCTTAGGACTCATATTACACTGCTGGAAATAGTTTATTTTGATGCATATGGTGTTTTGTTTTTTTTGCAAATTTGCACTATAATATTTATTTTCGTTTTTCCTGCAGTATATAAAAATTGGTGTATTTCAAAAATAAAACTATGAAGACACTTAAAATAAATTTCCTGTGGTGGGAAACTATTTTGTGCAACTTTTTTGTATTTACAGTTTTGAGGGATAAACCTCTTAAATTTCTCTAACTAGAAATATATGTTAAAAAAACAAAAACGATTTTAATTTTTTTGTAGTTTATTGCACTTTTTTGCAATTTATGTAATTACTATGCACTTAATGCATACATATTATTGAAATTTGGGCTATAATGGTTGTATTGATGTATATCAACTTGAAATGTTCCCAAAAATGGCTCCACAGCATGTAAAAATATAATATTAGCTCTGGCGGACTTGGTTCTATGGTAGGTCTTAAAGGGTTAAATGATTGAAATATAATCTTGTGTGTGTGTGTGTGTGTGTGTATGTGTGTGTGTGTGTGTGTATATTCTTAAATAAAACAAAAAAATTATCAATTTTCCATATATTTAAAAATATGAATAAAAATATTTTCTTTTTTTTTCAAATGAAAAAAGACCTCCACGACAAGGGAACGTCCACCTTCATCACCGCCCTCCTCAGGGTGACTTTCTCCCCCCTCCTCCACCATCGCTCAACCCGTATCGATGGACACGTCCTCAGGCGGATAATCAGTGGAGGAGACCGCCACACTTGGAGGATAGCCGTGTGGGGAACCCTCAGTGGAGGCCAGGCGCCACAACGCTGGACACGTGGAGAACTCCTCCTCCTCCGATCCTCCCTCGCTACTCACCACGCTGGACTGCTGAAGGCTATGGAGTGCCTGAGGAAGAGTGGGCGGGGCCACAAATGAGACACAGCGACAGCAGACACATACGGGGAGGCAGAGCAAGCGGATATGACCACTAGATTTTATTTGATAGAAGAAGAATGGACTGAGGTGATGTGGCCTTTTAAGGATGTTAGTGTTTGAATGAGAATATTTAAACAGGAATTAAAATTAACGCTGCTGAAGTCCACTTCAGCCAATCACAGCGCAGTTCAAATGTCGTCATTATTACTTTGATAACCTCGCTCTAGCTTCCAAGACTGACATTTGATGTGCGTGTGTGTGTGCCACATGTCTGAAGGTCAGAGTTCAAGGTGAAGAGTGGAGAGTGATTTAAAGTTTCATGTTTTCATGAGTGAATAAGAAGAAAATGAAACATGTTGTTTGTGTGCTTGTTTTATTAAATGAAAGCTGAAAATGTTGTGTGTCAGTAAATTATAAACTGGTATGAAGTGGTGTGACTTGAGCGCTCTGTCGGGCGTCTGTGAGCTCACTGAACTGTGGACAGTCGTCCACGTTTCTGTCTTCAGTCTCCTGTTTGTGAGATAAATGCCACCCGATTCAAACGAGGAGCTGCTCGGTGTTTACCTGTTGCCATGGTGAATACTGGTGTCAGAGCTCCATTGATCGTGGCTTTCATAGTCTCGTTAACCTGCTGTCTGCCTCTGAGGTGGGAGGGGTCGTACGGGTGAGGCTATAGAAACAGAAAGACGGAGCAGTGGGTTTGTTTGGGTTTTTTTGAAGAACATTTATCACGTTCCTTCTGGTTTCACTTGTTTTTGTGCTTTTTGAAGGTTTTCAAGTTTTTTTCCTTTCTGTAAAAAAACAAAACAGAAACTCAGGTGAGCAGGTATGGCAAGCTCCGCCCCTAATAAGATAACACAGATCACACCCTGTTCACTGTAACATACACACACACACTCCCTGCTGCAGAGGGTCACATGATACACTCACCTGTGTCCTGTTGCTGCTGAGCACAGGTGTGTAGGTGGGAGGAGTCACCTGGGGAGAATGCGGTCAGTCAGGTTTGGGTCCTTCGACCCGCCCGGTTAGTCTCCTCAGACCTGAGCTGAGTTGGTGCCTGTGGGAGGTTTGCCACAGTACTGCTGGGTCGTTGCTGCCGTGCTGTGGAGGAACATGTCTGTTAATCTGAGCAAGAATGGAGCCGCGCTGATGGCCGCCTACGAGGAGGTGGTGAGCGGCAAGTCTAACACAGACTGGTGAGATAAAGTTCACCTGTGTGTCTGTCCACACCTACATCTGCTGCACACCCACACCTGTCTGTCTGTTTCAGGGCACTGTTCACCTACGAAGGAAACACCAACAACCTCCGAGTGGCACAGAAAGGAGGTAAGTACTTGGATCCAAACTTTTGATCCCTCCGAATTTATTTCCTGTGGATTTCCCCTCACTTCCTGTTTTATTTTGAAGGTCAGGTCCTGTGTTCTTTGCTGTCCTTCCTCTCTGACTCTTCTCTCTGATGGTTTCCTGCTGTTTTTGGACCTGAGGAGATGTTTGAGGTGTTCTTGCACTCCACCCTGTTTCTTGACCTCAGTTTGACTTTTTTCAGCAGTGCTGCAGTCTGTCCCTCTGTGCACATGTAAACCCTAAGACTTCCTAATGTAAGACAACCAAGTTCAGCTTTTTCCACGTGATGATCATCATGACTGTAAGAAATACACTCATCCAGACTGTCCGAAAGTATAAAACAAAGTTGTGTTCATCACAGAAAATGTCCTTTTGTTTGGACCAACTGTAAAAACAGACATTTCTAGCGTCAGCAGCAAAAAACATTTATCTCCTCCTGGGGGCCGGAATGAAGGCTTTACTGGGCTGATTCTGGCCCCCAGGCCTTATGTTTGACTCCTCTGGTCTGCTCCCAGAGTGTTTTCTGTTTCTGAGGGTTTCATGTTAAAATCCAGGAGCATACCGACCACATGCAGAGTGGTGTTTGCCCTAATACACTTAAAACTTATTATTAAATATGAAGCAAACATTAACAGCGTGGTTATTACAAGCATTCAGCTTCCACAGCTGAGCCACGGCTACATCTTGTGATGTACCAATAAGTTTCAGCAGAATGGAGCAGAGGCTGCAAGTGAAAGCAAAGAAAACCACTGGGCTCAGGTCTGTGAACGCTGGTACAGCTGGTGTGTTGAAGCACACAGATAAGAATGTGCTGCTCTCAGGTGGGAAAGAAAGAAAAAGTTGCTCAGCGCTCCAAACTGGTTTGTGCAGCTGAGAAATGATGCAATGACATCACCGGCATTAAGAGTGTCAGAGGAACGTCTCAAACAAGCTGTGGAGGGTTTTTCGTGCAGCACTTGACCTCTTTATGTGTTACACAGGACGTGCGCGCAGGAACACCAGCGTAAGCCACCCTCATAACCTTCTGATCTCCAGTCTGGCCTTCAGGTGTCTGCGGTCTGATCTAAATGAGATCATGTTCTCCTTTGTGTTTTGTGTAGATGGAGGGTTGGAGGAGATGGTGGAGGAGCTGAACAGCGGGAAGGTGATGTACGCTTTCTGTCGAGTCAGGGACCCGAACTCTGGACTGCCCAAATACATCCTCATAAACTGGGTAAGACCAACTTTAACTCAAAGCTTTTTTTCCTGAAGTTTTTCTTTTTTCTGAAAACCACAAATATCTGAAGATTTCAGTGTGGATGTGAAGCTCAGGACTTTTTCACAGTGAGTAATCCAGACCATTAATAAGTGATCTCATGCTGTGGACGGATCATCTCAGACCTCTGGAGTGAAGTTTGGCTGGTTTCAGCATCTTCCAGTCACATGACAGGAAGCCCCTCAACATGTACTTTTTTTTAACCCCCATCCTCCATCTTCAGCCTGCTGATGTGTTCATATTAGCCTAGCCACCGAGTAGGTCATCGTTATATGCCCACTTCACTCCATCTTCGATCCTACAGTCAGAACATGGCATGTCATCGTTAGATGGAAACTAGCCCTCCGACTTCCTCCTAAAGTCTGGCAGAGTCTGCGAGGCTAAACAGTCCATATCCAGTTCTGAGATCCTGTAGAGAGCTCTGCAGACTTTACTTTCTATGAGTGTCGAGTGATAGAAGGATGCCATATTCACAGGATTGAATGGATGATTTTTGTTTTCTAAGACAGGTGAAGGTGTGAAGGACTCTCGGAAAGGACAGTGTGCCAATCACGTGAGCACCATAGCAGGTTTCCTGAAGGTGAGTCTGGCCTCTTTTTCCTGTTAATGTGTGTGAAGAGCTGCATCATTAACATGTGTGACATCACAGGGAGCCCATGTGACTGTAAACGCCCGTGCGGAGGACGACGTGGACCCAGAGACCATCTTGGCCAAAGTGGCCAAAGCGTCCGGCGCTAACTTTAACTTCCACAAGCAAACGCAGGAGTACAGAGACGTTCCCAGAGGACCCGTGGTGAGATCACGCCGCCTGAATCGGCAGCACAGCCTCGTTTTACCATCCAATAAGCCAATATTTCATCTCACAGTGCACTCCTACCCCTGCATGAACATTAATGTAGATCTTCTTCAGCTCAAACACTTCTGTCTACAGAGAGAGAATGCTGAAATAAAGAATAAATAATCAGGGTTGCGCACAAAGAAGAAAAACAGGACATTTCTGTTATAATCCCTGAGCCTTTTCTCTCGTCAGGGTTCTGTGTACCGCAAAGTCAATGCTGTCGAGGAAATCCAACAAATCAACAAGGACGACTTCTGGGTCAAAGCTCAGGTTCGGTTTCAACTCCGAGTCCTCCAAGATTGTACCACAGGTTTCAGTCAGCAAAGTCACACGACTCTCTATTTCTTCTTCTTCTCCTTCAGCGGGATGAAGAAATGCGTCAAAAGGAGGAAAGCATTCGAGTGGAACAGGAGAGGCAGGAGGCGGAGAGGGAGAGGAGGGACATGGAGGAGAGACAGTCGAAGGAGAGGGAGAGGATAGCGAGAGAGAGAGCTCAGCAGATCGAACAGGAGAAGTGAGTCAGACACACAAAACACAAAATCACAGAAACTCATGAAGAAGACACTTCAAGTATTTTGTGTTTCAGGCTCCGGCAGAAGCAGCGGGAGGACGAGGAGCGAGAGCAGGAACAGCAGCGTCGGGTGAGCTCAGCTTCAGCTCACTGATCCTGATTCGGTTGAGTTTATGAGCCCAGCCAGCATCACATTACTGCTCCTGATAGATTAAAAATAAATCAAATTTGGAAAACAAAGGTTTATTTGATCACAAACAATATAAAAAACAATATTCAACATTACTATTTAACCCCTTTTAAAAAAAGTTATAAACATAAATAAACAGAAATATAAAGGGGCAAAAATCCTGAAGTACACATGAATAAATTCAAACATAAAAGCAAACATAAAAGAAGTTATTAAACTGAAAACTATTTCAGATAATGAAAAGTAAATAAACAGGAAATAATGGAAAGGGTAACATGTTTTAAATTACCCAATAATAATGACATAGATATTAGTTAATTAATTGATTTTGAGGGTAAGAGAAAGATGTTTTTAACTTTTAAAGGATGAGCTAACTTGTGTATTTAATTCATAAATAAATAAAAAAAACATATTAAGAAAGTAAAAAATACTGGATTATGAGTCATTTCTTTATTGAAACTTGATTTTAAATCCTTTTGGCAAATCACTGAGGCAGGGAAGTCTGTGTTGTGTGATGTTAAAATTATATTTAACGTCATGTATGAATAATTTCTGTGTTTCAGAATGAGCAGCTGGAGAACATGAAGATGACGGGAATTTCCGCTGCTGCCTCGGTGCAGAAAGCTAACGTGAGCGCAATTTTGACCATAAATTCTTGTAACGTAATATCTGCTCCTGTTTCTCCCTCTAAATGTTCATTATTTATTTTCACACAGCATCAGAAACATAAAAAAAATGATCACACAGGTTTAACTTTTTTGTTATTCCAGTTTCATTTTTGATCAGCTGGGTGGATGGCTCTGAGCAGATGTTAAAACTAGAGAAATGAGGATTTTCTTGGTGATTTGTTCACATTTGTTTGGCTCTGTGATTGGATGTTGCCCACCAAGACGTATCATGGGAACTGTAGTCTGCTTCACATGTTTAGTTCTACAGCCTGGAAGCCTTTACATTTTTTTACTGTAAGCCAAATTGAAATGAACAGGAAGAGCTGAATTACAAAGGCTGAAGAGTTGCATTGAGAGAAGTGTAGGATCCTGCCTCTTTACTTTAATGTCACCCAGTTTTATTCACAGGAGGCGAAATCTCTGATTTCTCAGAGAGCGTTTAATCCCAGAGACATCTTCAAGCAGAAGGAGCAGAGCTTTGATGCTGGCGACACACCTGCTGCCTCCAGACCCGGTAAGAAACACGATGATGATAATGATGAGGATGATGATGATGATGGTGGTTCACCTTAAAGTTTCCCCCTGCAGGGAGGCTGCAGAGTCCGTTTCTATCGCAGAAATCGTTTGAGCGAGACGTCCCGGTTCAGCCTCGGTTTCCACCATCCTCTCCTCCAGCAGTGACCCCCCTGTCTCTGATTACATCTGCTTCACCTGTGCTGCCTGTCTCACATGCTGCACCTGCCTCCACTACAGCACCAGAGAGGTCACACTCACCTGTGCAGCCTGCAGGTGAGACATATTGAGGCAGCTTTTCAACTGCAGGAGGTTCCCAGAAGGAACCACAGTTCTTTGGTGTAGAACAGAAATAAAAAATAAAGTAAGTTTTGTGGAGTAACTGTTGTTCTCACAGTTCTCACAAAACTGCTGGCCTTCAGCAGGCGTCCAGAAGTTAGCCAGTCAGAACCAAGGTGGCTTTTTATTTTTAAATATTAAGCTTTGTTAAAAATACTTTCAAATTTAGGAGTGGATTTGTGTGATGAGTAGAAAACTGGTGTTCACATAACACTGATATTTTCTTTGGATATGCTGAATCAGCTGAAAAAGTTGAGTCTGGAAACCTTTTTTTATGTATTAATTTAACTGATTAGTGACCTGAACTGTGAAATACCCGCGTGTTGTGTGTATGACATGAAGTAAGACGTCCCTCCTGCAAACACAGACGCTGGTTATGGTGACGAAGACGAGTGGTCAGATGATTTTGATGAAGATGAAGCTGCACAAGGTGTGAACTTTAACGTCATTTCATTTAAACTTTTGTTTTGTGCAATTTTGATCATTTATCAATAATCAGAGTCGTTTGAATTAGGTTTTTTTTTAATCTTTTTCTTCCTATAAGACCATATTTTATATGATGATCAGTTTGTCACTAACATCAACACCCACAAAAATCACTCCGAGTACATTTACACAATACTTTATACTTCTAGTATGCTACATTTCAGAGTTTTCTTAGTCTTATAACTGCAGCTGAGATTTAAACACATGAATTACAAATAGCTGCAGAACAACACCATATCAATTTAATTCAATTAATTAGTCAATGAATCTAATGTTCAGTAAATTTAAAAATAACAGACATCTCAATAATAATAAAGCAAACAAAATAAACCTAAAACAATCTGAAACCACATTAGAAAACATTAGAGTTGAAAATGTCACTTTTATCCATTTTAAATTAAATCTATAACACTGTGAAGTGAATACTAATGAATTTTTCCTCAGTGGTGCTTTTACGTTTGAAACATTAAAGACAAAAAAACAAAAGTAATTAAATATGTTAAATACTGGAAACTTAGCAGTTTAAAGTTTAAACTTTGCTATATTTTCAAATTTTTTGGTTAATAAAATTAATTAATTTGAACTATTTTACATATTGAGTAAGAGTCACTGTCAGAGTTGGCGAGTCAGTGAATTTTTGAGTTTGCAGCAGCAAATGATGGACGTTAGCTGAAATAATTTGTGGTTATTCTGTGTTTTCTCCATCATGTTTACAGCTCACAGCTTGGTTTTTGTTTCGTTGGCCTTCATGTTTGTAAAGCTGTTACACCACGATTGTAGCACAGCGCTGGTTAGATAGATAGATTTGTTCACTGGCTATATCAGAATCTCAGACTATGTAACATAATTCATAGTAACATTTCTGTAACTTCTGTTTTTTGAGGATTGTAGTGTGGTGATACTTAGTACTTTTCCTGGAATTGGAGTATTAATACTTTATCCTGTTGGTACTTTTGTGTCTTTTCTCGCTGTCCTGGAAAACAAAGAACACTTTTTCATCTCTGGTATTTAAAACTTGTGATTTTTATAATGTGCAGAGGGAAGTCCAGCTCAAGATGATCCATACATGGCACCGCATTCAGCCTGGAGTAACGAGGACCTGTATCAAAACGTTTCCCAGCATGCACCAGCAGTAAGTCCTCTTCATCATAAGTACATTTACATGTACAACACTCCCAGTAAATATTTTCCTTAGAAATTAACAACGTATTTTGATTCTGATTCCTCCCTTAACGTCTTACTAACAGTTTGAGAAATGTGTCTGACTCAAAAACTGACCAATAGACCTGAGACTTAGTGGGTGTATCTCTGTGGTCTCGAGTAAGTGCAGTGCTGAGTTTGAGGTTGTTTGGATGACTAGATCTCAGACTTTGGCTAAAATTTGTTCTCTGTTAGAATAAACTGATACAGGGGGAGGCGTGTTTGTTCTGATCATTTTCTGAAGATGTTATACCCAAGTTTAATCATAGCAAAACACTAACCTAAACCACAGCATCTAATTCTATGTTTAACCCTGACACCAAGATTGAACCTTCAGTCATTCCTTTTAATGTGTCCCACCTCAACCAAAGAAATCATAAACAGGATTGTGTTTTGTAAAATAATGCAAAATCCCTAAAATTTGCTTACTATGACTGAAAGTGCTCTGCACAAGAATTCCAGTGTGCCTTGACTGCTAGTTTTATGCACAAATGGCAAAAAAAGAACCTTGAAATGGGAAACATACTGTGACCATGCCTCAATCAGAAAATGTTTCATTTAGCATAAGAAATAATTCTGAATTTCCAGTGAAGCACTGTTTAAATAAATACTCTTCCAGCTGTTTCTGTTTACTTTTCCAGACGTTTGTTTTCTCATTCCAACTTTTTTCAGATATATTGGTACCATTAGATTCAGAATGAGCTCATATTTGTCATGAAATAAAATACACATACAGTGGCTTGCAAAAGTATTTGGCCCCCTTGAACTTTTCCACATTTTGTCACATTACAGCCACAAACCTGAATCAATTTTATTGGAATTCCACGTGAAAGACCAATACAAAGTGGTGTACACGTGAGAAGTGGAATGAAAATTATACATGATTCTAGAGATGGACCGATCCGATATTACGTATCGGTATCGGTCCGATACTGACCTAAATGACTGGATCGGATATCGGAGAAAAATAAAAAATGTAATCCGATCCATTAAATATCACGAAAGCACCTCACAAAACTTGCAACACGCCGTAACTCACCTCAGAACGTTAGCATGTCGGAGCAGTATGCATCACGTGATAGAGCGGCTGTGGCATGCAGGACCTGTCGGTGGTCTGGATAGCATTTGGAGCTTCGCTAGCAACCTGGCATTTCATCTCCGACAAAGTTATCCCCGAGAGAAGTAAAGCAAGTGTGTAAGTCCATCTCTGAATGTTTGTAAAGCATTCCTGCGTTAAGCTTAACGAGCGACTGCCTCTCGCTCTCCGGCTGCTACTTCAATCGTGAAACTGCTTAAATGATCAGCTGATCGGCTTTTCTGTCGCGAGTCCGTCTTTGTTTTTGGCCCACTTTGCACCAGAAAGAGGAAACCAGCGGCTGAACAACAGCAGCACGTTTAAGCTTGATAAGCTGTTGTTAGAATTTATTTAATATTACTTTCTACACCAGGATCTTTTTCTACGTAGCTGACGCTGGTAACTGTGCAGGGGCGGATCTAGCAAAGTTTAGCCAGGGGGGCCGATAGGGCATGAACAGGGAAAAGGGGGCACAAAGACATACTTTTCTTTCTTATTCTCATTTAAAATGTCTAGCTTTTAATAAATAATTATCTGACACACAAAGTTTTAATTTGATGTAAAATGAATAGAAGTCAATTACTGTATATAGTAACTATTAAGTCTAATATATATACCCTAGTAAGCTATAGTACTTTTTCCTTTGGGAAGGTACCATCTGTGCAGTCTGCAATTTTGTTGAAGAAAGATGTTGAATCTATTTAATATTTCTTGAAAAATAATTGATTTCTGTGCATTTTTTTTCACACTGCATCAAATTAAGGTTGATTACGTCGATTAAGCATCATGAGGTGGCGCGTGAGGGGTGGTTCCCTATTTTTTATTTATTTATTTTTGTTGTTGCTGGGAGTTGGAACCCTATTAGTTAGGTTGCTTAATATTTACGCTAAGTACTCTTTAAAATACCAGAATAGGGAGGATGGTGTAGGTTTAAGTTTATTAGATTGATCAGTATTGCTGAACTATGAAATATTTTTTTTGTATACAGGTATAACAGAATAGCTTTAGTGTAGTTGTTGTTTTAAACTTGAGTATGAACTTGCAGACTTGCAAAATGCAGCAAGATATTTTAAAAAACAGTTTTGTTGATTAAAAAACACTATATCGGATTCATATCGGTATCGGCAGATATCCAAATTTATGATATCGGTATCGGTATCGGACATAAAAAAGTGGTATCGTGCCATCTCTACATGATTCTAAACATTTCTTACAAATAAATAACTGAAAAGTGGGTGTGCGTAATTATTCAGCCCCCTTTGGTCTGAGTGCAGTCAGTTGCCCATAGACATTGCCTGATGAGTGCTAATGACTAAATAGAGTGCACCTGTGTGTGATCTAATGTCAGTACAAATACAGCTGCTCTGTGACGGCCTCAGAGGTTGTCTAAGAGAATATTGGGAGCAACAACACCATGAAGTCCAAAGAACACACCAGACAGGTCAGGGATAAAGTTATTGAGAAATGTAAAGCAGGCTTAGGCTACAGAAAGATTTCCCAAGCCTTGAACATCCCACGGAGCACTGTTCAAGCAATCGTTCAGAAATGGAAGGAGTATGGCACAACTGTAAACCTACCAAGACAAGGCCGTCCACCTAAACTCACAGGCCGAACAAGGAGAGCGCTGATCAGAAATGCAGCCAAGAGGCCCATGGTGACTCTGGACGAGCTGCAGAGATCTACAGCTCAGGTGGGGGAATCTGTCTATAGGACAACTATTAGTCGTGCACTGCACAAAGTTGGCCTTTATGGAAGAGTGGCAAGAACAAAGCCATTGTTAACAGAAAACCATAAGAAGTCCCGTTTGCAGTTTGCCACAAGCCATGTGGGGGACACAGCAAACATGTGGAAGAAGGTGCTCTGGTCAGATGAGACCAAAATGGAACTTTTTGCCCAAAATACAAAACGCTATGTGTGCCAGAAAACTAACACTGCACATCACTCTGAACACACCATCCCCACTGTCAAATATGGTGGTGGCAGCATCATGCTCTGGGGGTGCTTCTCTTCAGCAGGGACAGGGAAGCTGGTCAGAGTTGATGGGAAGATGGATGGAGCCAAATACAGGGCAATCTTGGAAGAAAACCTGTCTGCAAAAGACTTGAGACTGGGGCAGAGGTTCACCTTCCAGCAGGACAACGACCCTAAACATAAAGCCAGGGCAACAATGGAATGGTTTAAAACAAAACATATCCATGTGTTAGAATGGCCCAGTCAAAGTCCAGATCTAAATCCAATCGAGAACCTGTGGCAAGATCTGAAAACTGCTGTTCACAAACGCTGTCCATCTAATCTGACTGAGCTGGAGCTGTTTTGCAAAGAAGAATGGGCAAGGATTTCAGTCTGTAGATGTGCAAAGCTGGTAGAAACATACCCTAAAAGACTGGCAGGTGTAATTGCAGCAAAAGGTGGTTCAACAAAGTATTGACTCAGGGGGTTGAATAATTACGCACACCCCACTTTGCAGTTATTTATTTGTAAAAGATGTTTGGAATCATGTATGATTTTTGTTCCACTTCTCACGTGTACACCACTTTGTGTTGGTCTTTCACGTGGAATTCCAATAAAATTGATTCATGTTTGTGGCTGTAATGTGACAAAATGTGGAAAAGTTCAAGGGGGTCGAATACTTTTGCAAACCACTGTAAGTTCTTGGCTTCTAAGTTAATGAATACCTATATTTGTAGACCTACACTCAACAAAAATATAAACGCAACACCTTTGTTACTGCTCCCATTCCCCATGGGATGGACGTAGAGACCTAAAATTCATTCCAGATACACAATATAACCATCCCTCCCAAACAGTGGTCACAAATCAGTCCAAATGTGTGGTAGTGGGCACATCTGCCATATTGAGATAATCCATCCCACCTCACAGGTGTGCCACATCAGGATGCTGATCTGACATCATGAGTAGTGCACAGGTGTACCTCAGACTGCCCACAACAAAAGGCCACCCTGGAATGTGCAGTTTTTTGCGCTATTGGGGGTCTGGGGACCCAGAACCGGTCAGTATCTGGTGTGACCACCATTTGCCTCATGCAGTGCAACACATCGTCGCATGGAGTCTATCAGATTGTCAATTGTGGCCTGTGGAATGTTGGTCCACTCCACTTCAATGGCTGTGCGAGGTTGTTGGATATTCGTGGGAACTGGTACACGCTGTCGTATACGCCGGTCAAGCACATCCCGAACATGCTCAATGGGTGACATGTCCGGTGAGTATGCTGGCCATGCAAGAACTGGGACATTCTCAGCTGCCATCTGCCCTGAACAATGTGAACCATGATTCATCCGTGAAGCGCACACCTCTCCAACGTGCCAGACGCCATCGAATGTGAGCATTTGCCCACACAAGTCTGTTACGGCGACGAACTGGAGTCAGGTCAAGACCCCGATGAGGACGACGGGCATGCAGTTGAGCGTCCCTGAGACGGTTTCTGACAGTTTGTGCAGAAATTGTTTTGTTGTGCAAACCAATTGTTCCAGCAGCTGTCTGGGTGGCTGGTCTCAGACGATCTTGGAGGTGAACCTGCTGGATGTGGAGGTCCTGGGCTGGTGTGGTTACACGAGGTCTGCGGTTGTGAGGCCGGTTGGATGTGCTGCCATATTCTCTGAAACGCCTGTGGAGACGGCTTATGGTTGAGAAATGAACATTCAATGCACGGGCGACAGATCTGGTTGACATTCCTGCTGTCAGCATGCCAATTGCACGCTCCCTCATTGCTTGTGGCATCTGTGGCATTTTGCTGTGAGACAAAACTGCACATTCCAGGGTGGCCTTTTGTTGTGGGCAGTCTGAGGTACACCTGTGCACTACTCATGATGTCAGATCAGCATCCTGATGTGGCACACCTGTGAGGTGGGATGGATTATCTCAATATAGCAGATGTGCCCACTACCACACATTTGGACTGATTTGTGACCACTGTTTGGGAGGGATGGTTATATTGTGTATCTGGAATGAATTTTAGGTCTCTACGTCCATCCCATGGGGAATGGGAGCAGTAACAAAGGTGTTGCGTTTATATTTTTGTTGAGTGTATTTATTGAGGTGATTCATGTATTTATTTAATCTCTTCTGGCAGATTTGGTCCTCCAGTGTTTGAGTAAAAAGTTATTGAATGAAATGATTTAAAATACTGTTTAAATGTTAATTCGCTGTTTTTGAATTTCAGGCTGATGGTATTAATTGGGATGGCAGTGGACAAGGTATCTGTGCCAGAGCTCTGTACGACTACCAGGCCGGTACGTACGCGCGCGCGCGCGCACACACACACACACACACACACACACACACACACACACACACACACACACACACACACACACACACACACACACACACACTCACTCATGTTTTTGGTAGTTGTGGGGTCTGCCGTCTTCTCTGTGACTACTGAGGACCATCGTGTCTTGTGGTCTAACATGTCTGAATGAAATTGGAAAGAGTCCAGAGTGTTGTTCACCATACTGATATCATGAAAATAAGACTTCTGTGATATCACAACAACATTATTGTAATTGAGTTTGCACTGGGGCCTCTAGTGGCCTGTGAAGGTACAGCAGATCATTCACAGTAAATGACATGTTTTTATTTATCCATTTATTTGGTTTGATTATCAAATAATTATCAGTTATTGAATATTAATGATTAAATGCTTAACTAGTTGAGTTTCCACATTTTTTTATAAATTTACCTGCAAATATTTGACCAAAATGTATTCTGTATTCTTCAATTGAGGAAAAGTGTTTAAATGAACCATTGACTGTCACAGGGGAAAAGCTGTTAAAGAAGGATGAATCTCAATAAATGAATCAAGAAGATCAAATCTGTAAATCAAATCTGTAAAAACAGGATAATGCTTTTTATTGGCTGTAAAATAAGCTTGCAGTGGTCTTACATTTGGAAAGAGCTGTTGTACCTCAACAGTGCAGTAAGCCATCCAGTTTGGTTATTATTTATCACATTTACCTGATGAAACACTGAAATGTTGTTGTTTTACATACAGATCTAAAGTCGAGTATACAGAACAGTTTCTTTCATTTCTTTTTTTTAAATGCTTGTAATTTTAAACTTGAAACTCTTGAAAGGTGTTTCTAGATAAACCTTTAGTTTAACTGAGTTTTCTCTCTTCCTCACAGCGGATGACACTGAGATCACCTTTGACCCCGATGACATTATTACTCAGATAGAAATGCTGGATGAGGGTTGGTGGAGAGGTGTTGGACCTGATGGGGAATACGGCATGTTCCCGGCTAACTATGTGGAGCTTATCTAGTTGTCATTGGCTCATTGTCCTGTTAATTTTAATAAAGCTGTGGGTGTTTCAGATGGATATTTTACTCACATTAACTTGTTCAGTATCACTGAATTAATAAACCTTTGTAAAAACCAGTAAACAATAAATACAGTCATTTTCAAGTGCAGTTTGGATATTGCTCTTATTTTTCTTTTGTCCTATTTGGCCAGTCTTACTACCGTAATTAATAAGAAGTATAAATTAGGTTCATATAGAGCCTTTTAATAAACTCAAGGTTGCTTTACGCACAAAACTCAAATGCCTCAGTGAACAGGTGGCATTTCAGCCGAGACTGGGACTATGGACCTCAGAGGGGGCCTGCAGAGCATCTCAAGGAGGACACACAGCATATGGTGATGCTCCTGTGTTCTTCAGGCAGTCACTGACTTTCTTACAAAACAGTTCTTATATTAAAAAAAGAAAAAAAAAAAAAAAAAGTTAATTTGTCCAGATAGTTTGGAGTCTCTGAAAATGTGGGGAAAAACTGCTCTCCAGTCAGCAGAGTTTCAAATATAAAAACTGTCTTTGTCAGAAAAGTTCTTCAGTTCCCTGGTTTTTTAATTATTTTATTTCCGTACCTCTTTTAAATATCTATGTCAATGTTAATTACGTTTATTATATTATTTTATATTTATTACAATATTCATGTATTGTTTTTTTAATGTCCGTCCTTAGTTTTAATGTTGTCATGTTTCATAATATCTGTCTTGTGTTTTATTACCTGATTTGAGCAGACTGTACTGTAGGAAGGAGTATCAGGGCCACATTAAGAAAAGAAAAGTCAAGTGTTTTGAGAATAAAGTTGAAATGTGGAGATGATCATTGTTGTTTCAAGACAAACTGCCATGTTTGCCATCTGTCCACGACCAGCTGTTTCCTTGTTACTTTATTTGTGCTGAATAAAGTTTGTTTGTTTTTTAAAGCAGCACGCTGCTGCTCTGACGTCATTTCCGTGCGCCCGGCCTCCCTGACAGTGAAGAAGGAGAAATGGCTGCAAGGTTACTGCTCCGCTCCGCCGTTAGAGCCGCGGCAGCCTGCCGCTCCGCCCGGACCCCCGCTCTGAGCCGCGGCATGGCGGCAGGAGGTGAGCCACGAGCCGGCACAGAACACCCGGAACCCACCGGAACAGGCGGCTTAGAGAGGGTCTAATCCGCGGGGAGGTCGGAGGACGCCGAGCGCTTCCTGTCCTGGTGACGGCTCCTCTCGGATCAGACTTCATGTTAATATCCTGCGATTTATTAAAAACCGTGTGTTGGCTGATTGTTTGACTTGTAGATTTAAAAAGTCTTAATATATCAGAATTTAGTAATCACGACGGTCAATACGGTGAGATTTAAAACCTAAAATATATTTTATATCTGAAACAATTAACGTGTCATATTTTAACCTTCTCCATGAAGGTCCTTGAACGTCTCGTCGGTATGAAGATTAAACACATGAGAGAGTAACGGAAGTTGTCATTGGTCTGGTTTGCCGATCGAAGTGATCAGTAAGATTGTAATGGTATCGATAAACATAGCATTTTAACTTGCAGAGTTTCCCAGAAACCTGAATAATTTGTATGTAGTCTGGAACAGCTAAAGGCAGTGATCAATGCATTTTTAAGTTGCTGTGTGTGACCATGACTGACGATGATCAATGAAGTGAATCAGAGTGACGTGAATGAAAACATCAGATCAAACATTTCAGTTTTACACTGAGATGTTTTCATGTCTGTGAGAGAAACCCGTGCTGCTTTAGGTTTCACAAACTCAGCAACTCACTGAGGTCATAAGAACCTGTAATAACGTGTACTGTAGTCATGTGACCCACAGGGAGTCCACACATTAGCCAGTTCTGATGAACAGTGTTTGCTTTGAAGCTCTTAATCACACTGTGCTGTTCACAGGGATTCCCACTGATGAGGAGCAGGCCACCGGGCTGGAAAAGGTCATCATGAAGGCCATGAAACAGGGCGAGGTAAGACCGACGCACAGGAATTCTGACATCATGTGCTCCAGAAACATGAAAAACATAGTGTTTTTTTAAAAAAAAACAGCAGTAGAAAAAGAAGAGCGTGATGTGGATTCATCTTAACACTATTTCACACAGACCAGAAATTAAATCAAGATTAAAATCATTAAACATCAAATCTGAGGAGAAACGAGAAGACTCAAGCTGTCGGTGTGTCGACATATTTCAGCAAAACTATAAAACATTTTTATTTTGAGTAGTTACTGATTTTGTTACTCATAATATTTATTTTTAGTATTTTTGGGCTTGTTTAAGTTTGTATTAATATTTGTTAATGTATTCTCGATTATTTGTTTATTTTCATATAGCAGTTATTTGATTAACATTAGTTTTCTATGTTTTGCCTTTTTATTAATGATTAATGATTATTTTGTGGTATATTCGCTGCTCGGCTCATTTTCAAATATTAATATAAATTATTCTGTCTGCAGCTCAGCCTCAGCTGATCTGAGGTCAGCCTCTGAGTCGTGTGAATCGTTCTTGATGAACAATGAATTTTGAAATGAAACTGATGTTGAATACTGTCACGCCCCGACTCACCTGACTCCTCCCCCTCCTGTAGGACCCCTTCAACATGATGAAGCCAAAGCACTATGCAGGCTCCAAGGCTGACCCCCACCTGGTTCCCTCCATCACGAACAAAAGGATTGTGGGATGCGTGTGTGAGTTGTTGTTTCCTGTTTGTAAGCGTGTGTGAGTGTCGGCCACGGCTTTCTCAGGCGAGGGTTAAACTTTGCCCCAGGCTCAAAGATGGGCGGGGCATAATCCTCACTGGGGAAACCTGAGCGTGCGTGTGACGTACAGGTGGCACCGCTCTCACCCAGTTTCCTGTGTGCAGGTGAGGAGGACAACACGGCCGTGGTCTGGTTCTGGCTCCACGAGGGTGAGGCCCAGCGCTGTCCATCTTGCGGCTCCCACTACAAACTGGTTCCCCACGAACTCCCCCATTGACTCACCACCACCTCCTCCTGCGGAGCAAGCGGCACTGTCCGCTTCTCGCTGTCTCCTACTTGACATACCTGCTGACCTCATCAGTCGTTGCTTACACGTTACATGTACTCGGGATCAGACACGTTCGGGGAACAAAGAGTTTCTTCAGACATTTCCATTCAGTCAGTTTACACACACAATTGTACTGCACACGTTACACTCCTCCCACCTCCCAGGAGCAGCAATAAACGTAACTTCCTGTTTGTGTACGTCTCTGAGTCTTCTTCCTGTTTTTCATAGTTAACCATGATTAATGTGTTTTACATCGAACTTCTAGACTTGTTCTTGTAGTTTGAGTGAACTGTTCCTTTAACAATAAAGATCTGTTTATCCTGAATCAGCTGACTCAGTCTTTTTATTACCATATTTATTTATTTATTTATTTTGCGCCTGTCCCGTTTGGCTCTTTTGCCCTCAGAATTGTTGTCTAAAGGCAAAGAAAGATGCCCAACGGATTTACTTTACCAAATTGACCATCCCAGCCTTGCCATAATGGTCCATTTGATTCACCTTTTATTGTTTATTTTATTTTCACTTGCTGAATACGGGACAGACTTGAATGGAAGAAAGAAGGGGAGAAAGAAAGAGGGAAAGAGAAACAGCTGAGAAGAGGGACGGGGGAGAAGGGCAAAAGACAAAAACCAACAGAACGGGCAGAGAAAAAAAAATGCATATATCGATCACCTGGGTCACCTGCTGAGAAAGAAAAAAGAAAACAAGCAGAAGAGAACAAGAGTAATAGAATAAACAACATCACAATGATATATGGGAATATGACAGTAAATACTAAATATTAAACATTATTTTGCAGCACATAAGATCAACAGAACACAGTGTGCTTTGAGGTAGGAGCCAAAAAGGGTGTAGTTTGTGGGTGTGATCACCCGTGTGTACACCTGTGAGCATGGACGCGCTTGTTTTTAAAAGGTTCCTTCATGTAATGATCTGCTAGAGGGTGTGGGGGGGCCACAGCCCCGTCCTCCAGGGCATGAAGCAGGTATGGAGGAGATCAAAACTCCAGACATCCAGAGGCCCCCAGAACACAAGAGACCAAGGAAGACCAACAGAGGGGCAGCCGCGCCACTGTCCCAGAAAGAGCTGAGGAGAGTCCCAGATGAGGGCTCACTCAGCAGCCGCGGAGCAGAAGCCAGGGGAGTTGCAGTGACGCGCCCGTGAGCTCCGCCGGCAGCCAGCCGTGCCTGAGTGGCCGAGCCCCAGGCCGAGAGGCCGGGGGCACCCCACCTCCGAAGTGGCCTGAGCGAGCCCCAGGCTCCAGGCCCTGATAAGCGGCCGTCAAGGAGTGAGCCGGTGTGTACCCGGAGGCCCATCCCAGGACACAAAGAACCACCAACGCACCGATGTCTGAGGGAGTCCGCCACTGGCAGGGGAAGTGGTGGTAGGGGGAGATAGGCCTCCAAACCTTGGAGGGCCTGAGATGTCCCCAGAGAGGTGGCGTCTGATACCCAACCTGACATATAGACACAGACATACAGGCACACACAGATACAAACATCCATTCCCACCCTCATGCTCTCATATGCACTTACTCCACACTCAACCAACGTGGAGACAGACATAAAGAGACGCTGTACACACGATCACACTCCCCAAGCGTACTCTACAAACCGGGTCTAGGTACCCTTGCCCCTGGAGGGGGGAACTGCACCCAGACCCAGGTGGTGTTACCCTTTTCCCTGCGCTGGGGAGAGGCAGACCGCCCCGACTCCGCAGCAGCAGGGAGGCCCCACACTCCAGACCGCAGTCGGACGGCCAACTCCTCCTCCTAGCCCCCCCGCTCCAGCAGGCCGCAGAGAACGGGGGTGAGAGAAGACTCCAAACCTCCCTCCACCCGCTCATTGTAGTGTTGATGCATGTGTGTTCTAAGGTGCATTTAAAACCCAGGAGGGCATGGAGCTACCTGCCAGAGAGCAGCAGGTAAGCACATAGTCCCTCCTGCTAGCCCTCAATGTCTACGTGTTACCATATTTATGATGTCACGGATACAGTAGCAGCAGCTGTTTGTAATCGACATGCTGTCATAATAATGACCAGAACGGCAGCGTGTGGCAGTGATGACGCTGAGATGACGGGACTGCAGTGTACGTCCGGTACGTCCCACTGAGCCTGAAAAACAAGGTCACACTATATAATGCAGCACATGACTGAAGGCCTAATTCCTCTGATTAAATAAGAAACTTATTTTATATTAAGTAACTGTGTAATCATATTTACCTACAAATACTTAATACTAGAATAAGGAGGTGAGCAGTCAGGTTACACAGGAAATTCATCATTACACTAAGTATATTTAAGCAGTGCATAGTTTCAGCATGTTTACAGAAACACAGCTTTTAGATATTACTTCATAAGTAAGCTGTGTTTTTCAGGGTGTGGGCCATATCAGTGGATTAACCTGGCCCAACTTCCAGGTGCTTTACTTTGCTGTACATGCCTTTTGAAAGGTAACAGTGATGGTGATTGTGGAAGATTCAGTCAGACTTGCCTCCATCATTATAACCTCACATACGCCCTGCACTTACATAATTATTTCTTTTCTTCCTGTAAAAATGTGGCCATGTTATTCCTGCGAGTCTATCTTTAATGATGTGACATCATCACACTGTAATTTCAAAACACACTGAAATTCTGTGTGTCCCCCCCACCCATGTGCTTCATACAACAATAATTAAAAGATTAAAACACGGAAATATTAAAAACTGAAGCTCCACCTGTGTGGATGATGTCACTGATGGTGGATGTTCAGAGCTACTGATGCAAACATGTCTGGCGGTGGTGGAGGTGTAGTCTGGATCAGCAGTC